GCCAGTTCTCATCTTCCAGCTCCCCAGATACTCCGCGTACTAAAGTTGTACTACAACTACGCCAGTTCTCATCTTCCAGCTCCCCAGATACTCCGCGTACTAAAGTTGTACTACAAAGTCACCAGTTCTCAGCTTCCAGCAGAGGGCTGCGCCGGATAAATCGACGCGCAATCTCCGCAGAGGGTTGCACCGGACCCGGCCAAAACGCACTATCGCCTGCATTTCGCGCCCTCGACACGCACGATCTCCGCAGAGGGTCGTGCCGGACCGGGCCAAAACGCACTCTCGCCTGCATTTCGCGCCCTCGACGCGCACGATCTCCGCAGAGGGTTGCGCCGGACCGGGCCAAATCGCGCTCTCGCCTGCATTTCGCGCCCTCCACGCGCACGATCTCCGCAGAGGGTTGCGTTTCGCGGTGCTCCGGCGGCACCGCCCCCGCCCTTAAGAGAGAAAGTAAAGAAGAGCGAGAGGTGAAGATGTGAGATGTAGATGTGAGGATGTGAAGATGAGCAGAGAAGTAGATGCGCAGATGTGAACATGAGTAGAGATGTACATGTGCAGATGTGAACATGAGCAGAGATGTAGATGTGAGGATGTGATGATGAGGAGAGATGTAGATGTGAGGATGTGAAGATGAGGAGAGATGTAGATGTGCAGATGAGCAGATGAGGAGAGATGTAGATGTGCAGATGAGCAGAGATATAGGTGAGAAATGGTGAGAATGTGAATGTGGAGAGGTGAAGATGTGAAGATGTATTCTGCAGATGTTTTTTTTACGAAGAACCCTTCGCAGACGCTCTCGGGAAAAAAACCTCATATATTTTGCATAACCACTTATAGCCTTATCGGTTTTCTTTGTTTACTAGTTATCGTTTTACAACTTTTGGAAATCTTTATACAGTCTCTTATCGTTTCCCAGCCAACCAGACATGTCCCTGCCTCAACTGCAAACAAGTCGGTCTCTGTTGTGTGTGTATATGTGTGCGTGTACTATTATGTGAGCAGTATGTGAGTATGTCATTGCGTTTTCTTTCCAACGATTGCAGTGCTGCTGCTGTCGAGTTCTTTCCTTGCCAACCATTCTTCAAAGAAAGTTCAGCATGGCATATGTTTTTCAGTTGCAGGAGCACTGACCACAAGCATGCGTACATGGGACATGGTCTTCCCGAGGACTTTTTCGTGCATTTTTGTTATCGTTTCTGTTATCGTTTTGGAACCCCAAGTATTAACCCATTTTGGCGGCCTTGAGCGTAGATTTTCCGTGTCCGCTACCATGCTACTGGTACCACTGCAACCCTGTGACTCGGAAGTGCAGACATCTTTCGTATGAGAAAGGTCGCCTAAAGTAGGACACCTGAATCACAACTAAACTGAACTTGCCGCACCATGCTCACGACATGCTCAGGACTGAAGTGAAGGCATTTGAATTTGCAATGCTTCTATTCTCATGTTTACATATGTTTACAATGAATCAGCCATGGTTTGCTAAAACGGGACCACTCATTACATGTTTCCTTGGTCTTTTTTACATCACTTGAGGCCAAGGGTTGGTGACGAAAGGGTGAAGCGGGGGATATCCGGCCGAGAAAGGAGTCCAAATCCTGCCGCCACAGGAACAGTCAGCCCCCTGCCCGCGGAAATACACACGTCCCAGAGACGTCCCACAGACAAGTTGAACCCGCCGGGGGGTGGGGAAGGGGGCCCCCCTGTATATGAAGTTTTCACGCGATGCGGCGCTCTCGAGGATTCCAGCCCCTCACTTGCTAAAGCAAGAACAACTCCAGCTAGCTGGTGCTAGCTGCTTTCGCGACTTATCAAGAAAAATCCGTCTATGCCTGCTTCAGAAAGAGCTCACAATATTATGGAGAGCAGGAGTCTTGAGTGTGTGGCACTGCTCTGAGTTGCTCGTCCATAAGAACAGTGTAAGCCTGAACAAAGCCACAGCTCATGCTTTTTACAACTCTGGCAATGCCCGCCTGCTTGAGTTTGGTAAAGCCTGTCATTGCCATACAAAGCATGTACTGACTCAGTCACTGGATGGTTCTGGTTCACATACTATCACATACTTGGCTCACACATGCCAGTGATTCGTGCACGATCAGCATCTGTTGGCTCGCGTCCCAGTTTATCTGGATGTACAAAGGTTGCCTGACAAGCTTGAAGGAGAATGGTGCAAGACTTTTCTAGGTGCAGCAATAGCGGCTCTCACTTCGTCGTCAGGACTGCGCCGAGCTAGATGGACGCAACAAAGCATTTCATGAGGCTTGTGCCATCTTGTGGTACGCCTTCCGCGTTTGTGACGCGTCAAACTTGTTCATGTCAACCTCCACCGCTGCAATCCAAGTGCAGTCTGACTCTCATATTCTTTCCGGCCACCCTATTTTTATTCTGTCACAGCATGCAAATATCACATGACCTCAAACATCTTGAAGAGGTCTGTGCCATTTTCCAAGCACTGAACCTGCACAATGATGTGAATGTGTATTAAATCTAGCAGTTGGGTTGATTCACTGCGGATGGTGGGAGATGAGAATGTGCAAAAAATGGTTATTGATGGGGACTAGAGTCTCTACAAGTAGCTGTCATCTCTAGCCGCTAGCAGGCCGCTAGCCTACGACAACTAAAGCAGGCTGGAACGGACCTGCTTTGGAACCGGGCGGCTGTCCTCACCCTGGTTGGGAATTACCTCATATGAGCTCATGAGAAACCACGGGGCGAAGAAATTGTGTTCATGCCGACAAAAGAAAGCTCTCTCAGGATCGCAGCTATTGGCATCAGCGGGTCCAGCCCTTCTTTCTTGCCAACCTGAGAAATGTCACAATGTGCAAAAAGTGCTTCTTATCTTCAAGAGTCGCCCCAACGATTCAAAGGTGTAACAAAAGGAATGCTCAAAATCAATGGATTGATGGTGGAAACCGGAGGCAGCAGGGAAGGTGATTTTCCCAGCCATCTTCAGGCTTCATCCACGCAGGAAGCGTTGGTTCGGGGTCTCTGACTCTGGTGTCCCCTCTCAAAGGAGATGATGCCTTTGCATGCAATTTGAGATTGGGGGCATCAATGCTGATCGGCCTCAGCGACTGCATCATCAGCGCTTGTCTCAGGTGGCTGTTCTGGCCTCGGTTGAATTTGCTGCACTTCCTGTGATGTCTATTTCACTCTCTGTGGAAAACGACGCAGTTGATCTTTCTGAGATTGGTTCGTGGGGCCTTTCTCAGCTTGGGGAGCTGCCTGCACATAGCAAACATAGCACATACGACAGCTAAAGTTACTTGATGACAATTAAGTAAGTCTATCATTGAGAGGAACATGATGGAGCTTATGATGGAATATGAGAGGCACAGCAAGCAGACTGCAGTTGATGCCTCAGAAGCTGCAGGAGCAGCTGGGGCGGAGCCTCGAGAAGCAACACAGCTTTACGGGCTCGTTTTGAGTCACGTGGCAATGGCGTTCAAAACTGTTTGAGGCTTGGACCAGGTGCTCCAGCCTCAATGCACAAATCAAGGAAACCTTCTTGCACCATAAGGGGAGTCACTGTTCTACCTCTCTGGGGGTCACAAGAGGCAGTTTCATGCATTGAGGAGCACACACTTGCTGCTCCGCCTGCGATGATCCACAAGTCGCCCACGCCAAAGAGTTGGTCATTTGATGTCACTTGCGATCATCAGTTGGGTCGACTTTTGTTAGGCCATAAGCCGTAAGGAGTAAACTAATAAGTTATTGTATAAATAGAGTACTAGTAGCTGGGCCGCAGGAAAGCTCAGGCTTCTTTAAGGAAAATAAGATTCGGAACTCTCGGAGTCTGGCTTCCTGGCTGCTTAGCTGCACTCAATATGCTAAGCCAAGCATTCCCTCAGCTCAAGGCCTGCGCTATCTCCGCTGGCCTTGCAAAGGGTAAAGTGAGATTCAACGAAAACGAACAAACACTATGTCACTATGTGCTTTTTGTCTGGTCTCAAACAGCGCACAAGCACACAAGCAAACGCCTTTATTAAGTTCTACTAGCACTGTTTGTAATTACTTGATTTCAGGCCCTTGCATCTGGCCCAGGAGGCCGTGAGCCACCAAGCGCCTTATAGGATGCAGTCTTGATTCCAAAGGCCACAAAAAGCGAAGTCTGCCAAATGACTCAAACATGACTAAAGTCCTGTACTTTTAAGTCTCGATGCTTTGATTCCTTTATATGACTCGAAGGAAAGAAAGCTTTTGTGAAATGTATTAAGGCTGCGACACTTAATGGAATCATGGCGGCTTTCTCCTAGGCCCCACGTTTGAAACAGGGATGAAAGTGCGCTACTAGGTCGGAGGCCATCGCTGCTAGGAGCTACTAGGAGGCGATCGCTACTAGCAGCAAATAGCTACTAGTAGCAAAGCGCATTGCTACTAGTAGCAAGGACGCTACTAGGGTGGAGGCCATCGCTTTTAGGTTGGAGGCCTGTGCCTGTAAAGGCGGAACTGCGGCGCTGAGCGCCACACCGAGGCCCAATTGTGCCCCCGCCAGTCCCGCTTGAGATCGAAGTGTGATCGGCACAGCAACGTGACATGTTTTGCCTGGTCGAATCTAAGAACGTGACATGTTTTATCTTCAAGATCCTTTAGAAACATGTTGAAACAATAACAAAGCTCAGCAGTACTATATAATGCTATATACTTTATATATACACTATATACAAATATATATATATATACAGTATATGTGTGTGTACACACACTTTTGTAGTTGCACATCACTCGAACTCCAAAGGTCATGAAAGGGCTCACAGCTGCTTTTTGGTGTCGTAGCTTGTGCATTGTGTCTGGCTCTCTCTTGAAGAGAGCGACTCCTGAAATAGTCCTAAATCATCTGCATCCCCGTCGCAGCTTATTCAGGAGTGTCAGCAGCTTGTCGTCCCCGGTACCCAACCTAGGATTCGAGGTTAAAGTTTAAGCACTGAAACTCGGACTCTCTGGTTGAGTTTCAGCTTGAGCAAGCACATATCACAACATTCATTCACGTGGCATGCTGATCCTGCACTGATTCTTCTCTGACTTCATCATTTTAGAATCTGTCCGCCAGCCAGGGCACATCCCCGTAAAGAATGCCTCTCAACATGCTCATTAATGCATGATCATTATGCTGAATGTGCTCAAAGCGTGTTTCTGAGCCATCGACCGTGGTCAATCAAAGCAGCACGAATCGAGCATTTCCTTGCACGGGAAGAGTCAGGGCAGGATATTCTGCTCAAATGCAGCCCAATGCCTTAAGAGTCTGTGAGCCTGGCACTGGCATTGCACTTGCTTCCAAGAAGGATTGATAGAGCTCCTTTCAAGGAAGCTCATTGCCACTCAGCACAGAGTCAGAAAATAAGCGTACCACAGCATACCAACCACCTACCTCAAAGAAAACCTGAAAGAATGCTATCCAGGCTGGCTGTTGAGCGGAACATGTGGAAAGCAGGCCATTCTTTCCTCAATCTTCATGCCTTTCTGTTTGGCATGGAAACTCTGACAAAACGCGCTGTGCAAGAACGAAAGAGACATTGCGATCATCTTGATGCCGTCATGGCTGCTGTGCAGCAGTTGCACACAAACCCGAAAATTGAATCGACACGAATTGGTCTTGGCAACCACACTTCAGCCCATCTTGATGCATCTCAAATGCAGCATCCAATGGCTTTTGCCATGGTTGTGCAAGTGAAGACTGACCACAGTTACCCTAGCCGTAGAGATTTCTTGTTGTGGATTTGACCTCATCCTGCATGCTACGCACCCGTTCTGCAGCCTTTTCCAGGTACACTGAACCCTCCAAAGGAGTCTTCTGAGAAGAGCGATCCCATGCCGCTAGCATCTTGGCATCGCTGACCACTCGCCGCAGGTCCGCGCAACAAAAGCTATCACTGGCCTGAGCTGCAGATTGGACATTCGGCACTTCACCATTCTTTCCCAAGAGCTCCAGAGCTCCTGGATCTTCCCTGATGTACTTCTTGAGAATCTCTCTCTTCTGTCTTGGCTCTGGCAGTTTGGTCTTCAACCACAGCTCAATGCGGCCACTTCGGAGAAGCATGTCTGCCATCCAATGAACATTCTGCCCCGTCAAGATCACCACCACGTCACCATTTTCCCTTTGTCGTTTGCCACGTGATGTCAAGCCATCCATACGACCGAGTAGGAATCGGAAAACGTCAGAGCCACGATGTCCATCAAGGGGTCGCCAGCCACCAATGACAATGTCTGCATCATCGATAAAGACCACAGCGGGAGCAGCGGCTTGAGCTGCGGCAAAGACCTTGATGATGTCAGCCTATGCGAAAAAGCTTGCCGTTGCCGTTGCAGAAAGTCTATCAAGACTGTACGATAGTAGCGACAATGAGGAACAACCGACTTGCAATAGTCCATATGAGTATTGCCTAGTGAGCCTAGTAATGCGCAAAATTGTGCAATTATGTTTACATCTTCTGCAATTTACCTTGCGCATCCTTGCGCTGCATCTCTACATGGGCGCCTGAACCATCATCTCACGTACCAGGAAGAATTTGCCCTTCAGGCGGTTGGCAAGCCATCGTCCCACTGTGGTCTTTCCAGTTCCAGGCTGTCCGTGAAGTAAGACGCCGCGCTTTGGCGTCAGACCAAACTGTTTGGCCTTGTCTGGATTTTCCAATGGAAAGAGGACATTGCGCTCCAACTCTTCCTTGATGTTCTCAAGTCCTGGGAATTCTGCCAAATCTACAGGCTCTACCTCTTCAGGAGCCACAGCAGATACTGAGACAAGCTCATCTCTGATGGATGAGACCAATGCCTTTGTTGAGATCTCCCCTTTAGACAGTACTCGCGCTGCACTGGCTTTGAGGTCTGCTGGAGACAGCTGAGAATGCAATGCATAAATAGCTTCTGCATCCACTTGCTTCGCTGACATTGCATTCAGCACCGCCGCATAGTCTTCCACCGTTGACTCTTCCAGGGTAATAGTCAACGGAGCCTGCCAGCGTAATGGAATGGTTTTATGCCTTTTCACGAGCCACAGTACTTGGTCGCCTAGTGGAGGTGGCGTCACTGACTTCTAGACTTTCAACAAAGAAGTCAGGGGATTGCAAATTATCCAAGGAGTAATTAGCCCAGCTGGAGACCCCAATAGCAAGATACAAACCGGGACAAAAAGAAAAATCTGGAAACAGCTGCTGTTTTCAACACATCGACCATCTCTTCCTTGGACACCATCATCACATAACCGGGACACCATCACAAAATGACCAGGGCACCATCAAAACATGACCGAGACACCGTCACAACATGATTGGGACACCATCACAACATAACCAGGACACCATCACAAGGTGACCGGGACACCAGCATGACATGACGGGGACACCATCACAACATGACCGGGACACTATCACAACATGACCGGGACACCGTCACATGACCCGGACACCATCAAAACATAACCGGCACGCCGCCAAAACATGACCAGGACACCGACCGGGACACCATCAAAACATGACCGGGACACCGTCACAACATGAGCGAGACACCATCACAACATGACTGGGACACCGTCACAACATGACTGGGACACAATCACAACATACCATCACAAGGACCGGGACACCAACATGACATGACGGGAAAACCATCACAAGATGACCAGGACACCATCACAACATGACCGGGACACCGTCACATGACCCGGACACCATCAAAACATAACCGGCACACCGCCAAAACATGACCAGGACACCATCACAACAGGACCGGGACACCATCAAAACATGACCGGGACACCGTCACAACACGACCGGGACACCATCAAAACATGACCGGGACACCATCACAACATGACCGGGACACCATCAAAACATGACCGGGACACCATCACAACATGACCGGGACGCCATCAAAACATGACCGGGACACCATCAAAACACGACCGGGACACCATCACAACATGACTGGTCACAACATGACCGCGCCACCATCACATGATCGGGACACCATCACAACATGACCGGGACACCGTCACAACACGACCGGGACACCATCAAAACATGCCCGGGACACCATCACCACATGACCGGGACACCATCACAACATGACCGGGACACCTTTTAAAACATCAAAACAGGACCGGGACACCATCACAACATGATTGGGTTACAATTAAAACATGATCGGGACACCGGGACACCAGCATCACATGACCCGGACGCCATCAAAACATGACCGGGACACCATCCGCCCACCAGCTCTGACGGTGACCCGACGGCGCCCGTCCGCCTATTAGTTTTGCAAGACCCCATAGCATGGCTATTGGGGAAAAACGAAGAGTAGGACCTAGAGTGCCTTGACGCAGATCTACCAAAACCACCACATGTCGAAAGAATGACCACCTCCCTTTTGAATAGCAAGGCCTTGATGAAGGCCAAATGAGCATCTTCAACAGAAGAAAAGACAATCACCCCGCCAGCAGAGCTTGCAGCATCGCTCAAAGCCTTCAGAAGCATCGCAGGTGATGGTGCGACTTCCCAGTTGAAAATATCCCCAGAACCCTTGATGTCGCCAACAAGAGTTCGTGATCGACGCACAGAACGAGGATCACAGGCCAAATCCAAGTCATCAATAACAGCCACCCCATGCTTCTCGAGTGACGCCACAGTTGCAGAGTACAATCGTTTGATGGCTTGTCCCTGTCCATCGCTGGACTTGTCATGACACTCAAGGGCCGTTGCCACTCCCAGGAGAGGAGCTCCCAGCTCAGCTGCTACAGCTTTCAGGACAAAGGTAACCCCATATCCTCGTCCCAAGGCTGGTGGCGATCTGAGTTCCACCAATGGCACTGCCTTGGTCTTGATTGCGCCAATCAAATTGTCCTTGGCCTTCTTCTGACTCGGGCTCATGGGGCTCATCATGGAAGATGTTCCGTTCATATTTGGCCTTCTTTACGTCGTACCAGCAGCACTGGCTACAAAGGCTAGGAAATCTTGAATTCAGTGTGCTGCCAGCCGGGCGAGTGGTTCCAACTACAAAGACATACAGTACAAAGACATTTTTATGTGCAAATGCATGCCACATGGTATGTTCTTCTTGTGTTACCATTGACCCCCCCTTCTCATAGCAGCTAGCAAACCGTTCCTCAAAACGAGAGGATGCATGGATGCACAGTACTCATTTTGCTTAAGTGCTGTGATGAAACTGTCAGGGTTAAAAAAAAAAAAAACACCAAACAGGCCTCGGCTTTGGATCTTGATGGACCGTTAAGAGCAGTGGTGAAGC